TTCACACTGAGCTGTTTTAAAAATACAGACTTATAAATTTGTCTGTGAAGTAAGACAATACAAATTTCACCAATATCCAGAGCTGCTGTAGACTCTGCCCGGTAAATTAGGGAGGAAAACAAGGCTGCCTACTTCCTTGCGTTCACCAAGTTCAAAGCATGGGGGCATAGGAAGGTACTCAAGCGTTCTCACAGCTGATCAAACGCCTGGCATTGTGTGGATGAAGGACAAGCCCACAAGCCCCTGGCCTGGCTCTCGGCTTCCGCCTCCCCCCATCACCACCACAGCCGCCCCTGCGCTCTGTCCGCAAAGGGTGGCTTGGCCTCCTCACCTAGGAGGAGGAAGCCAACAAGGTCTTGTCCTCACATTTTCCCCCTGAGCTCTCTGTGTTCTCAAAACTTTACTTTTTCCTCTCATTTTGTACTTGTCTGTTCATGGAAAGGCAAACGGCAATGCTGGGTACTTATTAAGAGGAAATTATGCTGGGCCTTGGTGGCTCACGCCTGTCATCCTACCTACTCAGGAGGCTGAGATCTGAGGATCACCGTGCAAAGCCAGGCCCGGCAGGAAAGCCTATGACACTCGTTTCCAATTAACCACCAGAATACGGAAGTAGAGCTGTGGCTCAAAGTGGTAGAGTGCTACTAGTCTTGAGCAAAAGAGCTCAGGGACAGCACCCAGACCCTGAGTTCAAGCCCAGGACCAACAAAAAAATTAAATTTTAAAAAAAAGAAAATTATGCTGGGCAGTGGCTCACACCTGTCATCTTAGCTATTCAGGAGGCTGAGATCTGAGGATCACAGTTCAAAGCCAGCCCAGGCAGAAAAGTTCATGAGACTCTTATCGACAATTAAGCAGTAAAAACAAAACAAAAAATGAGAAGTGGAGCTGTGGCTCAGGGGTACAGCACCAACCTTGAACAAAAAAAATAAAACAAAGAGACAGCACCTACACCCTGAGTTCAAGCCCCAGTCCTGGATCAAAAATTTTACATAATGAAAATAAAAGTAAATAAAAAGGCAGGCACGTAAGACTGAATGGCAGAGCATCTGACTGGGTGTATTCTCCAACCTACAGCCATGACCACCACCAGGAGAGGAAAGGGGCATGGTCACCAGGTGCTCACAGGAATCACCAACCAGGGCCCAGGGACACAAGAAACCACAGTCGACTGCCAACCCTTTCCAGGTCAAGGAGTTGGGTCCACACGGGTGAAGGCTACTAGCCAATTCCTGTACCCAGGAAAGCAGCTCTGGCAGACATTACAACATTACGACCCACTGCAGATGGGGCACTCAGAAGGCTCACAAAGCCAGGAAGGGCAGTGAGCGTCCGGCCCGCCGGTCCCTATGCTTTACCCAGAGCACCAATGCAAATGCAAGTATGACCATGACACACACGAAGCTGGGCAACAAGTGGTTAGAAACAATAAGCAACCGTGCAATCATTTTTCTTTTAAAAAGAAAACCACACTCAACCAACTACTAATGTTACTGGGGGAGGGGGTTCTGTGTGCGAGTGTTGTTTTTCACTTTTCACTCAGAGAACCACCGCCTTCTTTTAAAGGTGAGAAAGCAGAGGAGCACCAGTACTGGGCAGGTGTGGGAAGTGATCAAACTGCGCACTGGAGATCTGTGCCCCTGACACGCCCAGCAGGCATCCAGGTCGGCCTGGGGGGCGGGGGGGGGGGGGGGGGGGGACTGTGAGACTCCAGTCCTGGCAGTGGCAGCGGCACTCACAGGCCGAAGCAAGGAGGTCCCAAGCCAGGACAGTCCCGACCTTGGAAACACCCAGTGCAGAAGAGACTGAAGGCATAGTTCAAATGGTAGAGCACGACCCAAAAAGGGGGAGCACGTCAGCGGCTCACGCCCGTAATCCTACCAACTCAGGAGCCTGGGGTCTGAGAATCAAAGTGCTAAGCTAGCCTGGACAGAAAAGTCTTGGGAGACTTTTTATCTCCAATGAACCTGTAAAATCAGAGAAGTGAAGTGGAGGCGTGTCTCAAGTAGCAGAGCTCCACCCGTAAGCCAAACCCAACAGCCAAGGAGAACATGAGGCTCTGAGTTAAGCTCCAGAACTGGTACAAAAACAAATTAAAGATAGACAGTCTATCAAAAATAGTTCAGTACCGCCGAACAAGTGGTACTTTAAGGATCAGTATTCTATATAAAAGACAAGGGGGACACGGTTAAAATTCAGCATTTCTGTGCAATGTGGAAACATTTCTATGCTGGGGAGAAACAGGCATCATCCACTCACTAATAAGGAGAGAACAGAGAAATCACAGCTTCCTCTCTTCCTCCTCCCTAGCACCACAGGCCCAGACACAGGCTGAGCTCACCTGAGAGTTCTGTGTCCTTGAGAAGACTGAACCTCCTTCAGGTTTGCTAAAGAGAAATATCATCAGCCCTGTCAAGCAAGAAGCTCCTTGATAGTTCCTTCTGGGGAATGAGAATGTTTCGACTCATTTGCATCTTAAAGGGTACTCCCTCCATGATCTCTCACCCTCTAATAGATGTCTAAACCACTAAATTACTACTTCTTTGCTTAGCCTCCAAGTCCAGGCAGACTAAGAGCCTGGTCTCCCATGGTTCTTTCCCTTAGGCTGGTCCCTGAACAGTACTGACAGCTGCTATCAAACCCGGCTGCACGTGCCCTGCCACAGCTGCTGCTTGTAGGAACAGACAGTCTCCCGGTGCCCCGCCCCTCTGGGGAGACAGGTTGACACACTGCATGTTCAATGAAGGGGTGCAAAGGTCCACTGCATTGTCAACTCAATTTTATGCTACTTCGATTTTCCAGGATGCACACAATTCCTTTCAAGCAACAAGCAAGCAAGCATGTGCCAGAGCACGAATCGTACGGTGCAAGATAATTATTGATAACTGTGGACTTTAAAAGCACCTTCTGACACAAATTAATAGACTGACCCAAAAACTTCAAAGATAAAAACTGCGCATGCCCAAGATGTCTGAAGACGCACAAAGGATATGAGCCTTGCGCTGGGCCCAACGCACCAATTCCGGTCACTGCTGCCATGCTGTCAGAGCTGATCAGCCTGTGTAATCTCAACGTTGCTCCGGGACTGAAGCCATGCAGACACTTGGTGCTTCAGCCGCCCTTCTAAAACAACGTGCTATTTTTATCTTCTGTTTCCATTCAAAATGGGTATTATCTACAAACATCTGGTTAATACAATCTCCCCCTTTTCAAAGTGTAGGTCCAAAAGAGATTCACAGGGGCTAGGCTGTGCCTTTCAGAATTTAAATAAAGTCTTTTACTACTGTAAAGTTACATGTAGCTGCTTGTTTGCCTACCATGTGTGAGGCCCTGGGTTCAATCCCCAGCATTAACAGGAAACAAAAGAAAAATTACACATGACGACTTAGAGCCCACCAGAAACCAAACATGTTCCATGAAGTTGAGCTGGGTACCTGAGGGCTTCTTTGCATATGTTTTCTTTTAATCAAAACAGGCTTTTCTATCCTCATTCATTTGGGCTAAAAAAAAAAAAAATGTTCTGTGCTCCAGCTACAAGTACAATTCCCTATTAGTCTCTGCTAATCAAACACAGTACATGCAAAAGTACCGGTGAATATTTGATTTGATCTCTGAAATAAAGCAATTCATTACAGAAGGCAGGAGACAAATGCAGATGTAATTGTGTTTTTTTGTTGAATGTGATTAGAGAACCCACTAAGTAACAGTCAAAAAAAAATGTGAAGGGGAAGAAAGGCTGAGCGGAGATGTGGGGGCAAGGAGGGAGACTGTTTATGCAGAGCTAAGCTGTCAAGTGTAATAAAGCAGCTTGAATAAAATTTAAGCTGAAAATCCACGGAAGCTCCCCATTTCAGGGAGGAAAAAGCTATTAAAAGGAAATGAAGGTCACCCTCCCAGTTTATTTCACCTAATTGACTGCCAATAGCTTACCACAGACAACCCCACTGCAGATCTGCAATTGAGAAACCAATGAAAGGAGAGTTTTCAAGCTGAGGCTCACTCTTTAATCCCCTGGCTCTTATGTTTTTTCTCCATCTCCAGTTGGGATGTAATTTTAAGCCCTGATGGATTAACTGGCTCCATTGTCCAAGGCCAGCTTTGGACTGTGGCACTCCTAATCCGTACAGCAGCATGTCTAATTATCATTACAAAGTGTCTGAGGGGACTATAAAGACCAGCAGGGCATCTTCTCACAGCAATTAACATAAATTGATAAATGAGTGATTTTGAATCCGCTCAGGGCACTCACACATGAATAAAATCAGAAAGGACCCTCCCTTGTTCAGCGCCCGCCTTCCCTTCCTCTGGAAGGGAGCAGAGCACATGAGAACCATCCCCGGGTCCTGCTGCGGGCGGGCAGGTGGGGGGCAAGCCCGGGCCGAAGGAGGGCACACAGGCATAGCACACTCACGGAGTCCCTTCACACAGGGAAGCGACCTGAGACTGACAAGCCGCGGCGGCACCGAGTGCTGACTGAGCTCCACCCACAGTCTAGAGCACAGGGCAGACAATCAGCACTTCTTCCATGGCTGGGGAGCGTTCTTTTCATTGGTGGGCCACTTAAAAATTCATGGAAGGGCACACACACAAAAGGGGAAGGCACGGTCACAAAAGTCTGAATACCCTAGGAAGCAAAAAGCAACAGCAGCGAGAGCTCGGGACCCATCTTGACCTCACAGGGACTGAATGTTTGCAGCTGGAAAGCAAGAAAAAGTATTCAAAACGCACACTTAAAGCTTCCACTTGACTATCGGTGGTTTTAAGTGGCCCAGGACGAACTAGAGGCTATTTTCCCACTTGAACACAGATTTGTTTTCCGTCCCCCCTCCTAAAATCTCTCTATCATGGGTCCTGATGTTATGGTCTTCCCTTGTGCATCTCAGTAGACACTCAAACCCACCCCACCCACCTTTCCCTTCTCAAGTCAGTCAACATTAAATTATGTTCATATACATGCTAAGCCATCAAACTAGTAAGAAGTGAAAGCTGGTGATACACACTGTAGGAGGTAGACCTGGAAGGCCACGTACCCCGATGATGGCGTTCAGCTCTGCCATGGTCACCTGCTTGGCGCGCTCCACAGCCTGGGCCACCTGTTGTTGATGCTTTGAAAACAAGAGGAACGTGTGTTAGCAACAGCCAAGAACTTCCTTGTTCATTCTAATAACAAAAAGAGCTGCAGGCAAAAAGACAACAGGGTTAAGCTGGAAAAGCTGCCTCATTCTGGAATCCCTGCTACTGGAGGAGCTGAGACCAGCCTTGGAGTCTAGCCCCTTAAAAGCTCAGCAGATCCTCACCTCAACCAGTAACAAGGTGGGTGTGGCAGGCACACCTGTTATCCTAACTAGTGGGAGACAGAAATAGGAGGACCAAAATCCAGGCTGGTTCAGGCAGAAATGCAAGCCTGTTTACTTATGGGGCAGGGATTTAGCCTCCAGTGGTATAGAGCCTCAAAAAGAACTTGAGAAGAGAGCTTGTTAGATTAAGCTTATAGCAATTACATTGTTTTGGTGTTTGTGCTGGTACTAGGGCTTCAAGCTAGGGCCCCATGCTCTTGTTCAGCTTTTTCTCTCAAGGCTGGTGTTCTACCACTTAAGGGACACTTCTACTTCTGTATTTTTTTTTTTTTTTTGCTGGATTAATTAGGCAACTCTAGGAATTTCTCTTTTTCTTTTAGCCCTTTGACTTGTGATAGAAAGATTCCCTTAGTTTGGGTACTACCCAATTCCATTCACAAGTAAATATGCAGCCACAAGTCAATTTGATAGGACTGGGATCGACAGCACTAAAATCTAATGAACAGCTGGCAGTGATCAACACGGATGACACCCTGGTATTCCAACTCCCTGCTCACAGAGCTCTCCTCCCTATCAAGAACACTCAGACACATTCAGCAGCTTATACCCAGAAAGCCAGCCTTCCAAGGCAAAACTAAAAGACGATGCTGGGTCAACTTCACTGACTGCTTACACAAAGCTCTTTCCCTCAATGTGCTTAAATAAAATGGCTCATCTCTGTGACTCCAGCCTGACACAGCCTGAGTATGACTACCAACAGGAGTGTGAGCAGTACATAACACTACAAACAGGAAGTCTGCCTGCACGGCCAGCCTCCATGGTGCCACCCTGAACGCAGCAAGAGAAAGAAGAAAAGAAAAGAAAGAAAAGAGAGCCAGGCTCCAGTGAGTGTCTATAATCTTAGCTACTCAGGAGGCTGAGATTTGAAGAATTTGGTTCTAAGCCTACTCAGGCAGGAAAGTCTGTGAGACACCAGGTAACCACAAAAAACAAAAGCCAGAACTCAAGTAGAAGAGCAGCAGCCTTAATAAAAAATAGCGAAGGAACAGTACCTAAACCCTGAGTTCACGCCCCAGCTGATACACAAAGCTAAACAAACCTTCCCCTCACCAAAAAATAAGTAAAAACCCAACAATAAAAAAGACAAAAGGTCATCCAAATCCTAAGCTATCAAGCTTACATTACTCCAAAAAAAAGGGGAAAAAAAAGAAGAGATAAAGAAAGCTTTCTGTTTGGTAGTCATTTTGCAGTTTTTCCATAGGAAAAAAAATTAGCTTGGGGTTGAGCGTCTGCCACCACTTGTGCAGCAAGCCTTCAGATGTGTCAGACGGGATGGCAGGGGGCTTACACACTTCAGCTGTAACAGATGTTCTTCACACTTGTTCCTTGTGATAAAATTAACATCTTAAAACTAGCTAATTTGCAAACAGAGAAGCAACATAATTGCACTTTAACAGCTGAACAGCTTTACTTACTTCCTGAGACAGAAACGGGATGACTTGTGCGCAGATCGTGTTCAGCCTCTTGGCGATCTCAGTCTGCAAAGAGAAAGCCACACCAGCGTTTAGAGCACCTCACAGTCAGCTACTTCACACCAGCAACACTCACAGTCAGCTACTTCACACCAGCAACACTCACAGTCAACTACTTCACACCAGCAACACTCAGAGTCAGCTACTTCACACCAGCAACACTCACAGTCAGCTACTTCACACCAGCAACACTCAGTCAGCTACTTCACACCAGCAACACTCAGTCAGCTACTTCACACCAGCAACACTCAGTCAGCTACTTCACACCAGCAACACTCAGTCAGCTGACTTCACACCAGCAACACTCAGTCAGCTACTTCACACCAGCAACACTCAGTCAGCTACTTCACACCAGCAACACTCAGTCAGCTGACTTCACACCAGCAACACTCACAGTCAGCTACTTCACACCAGCAACACTCACAGTCAGCTGACTTCACACCAGCAACACTCACAGTCAGCTACTTCACACCAGCAACACTCACAGTCAGCTGACTTCACACCAGCAACACTCACAGTCAGCTACTTCACACCAGCAACACTCACAGTCAGCTGACTTCACACCAGCAACACTCACAGTCAGCTGACTTCACACCAGCAACACTGTCAGCTGACTTCACACCAGTAACAGTCAGCTGACTTCACACCAGCAACACTCACAGTCAGCTGACTTCACACCAGCAACACTCACAGTCAGCTGACTTCACACCAGCAACACTCACACTCAGCTACTTCACACCAGCAACACTCAGCTGACTTCACACCAGCAACACTCACAGTCAGCTGACTTCACACCAGCAACACTGTCAGCTGACTTCACACCAGTAACACAGTCAGCTGACTTCACACCAGCAACACTCACACTCAGCTACTTCACACCAGCAACACTCAGTCAGCTGACTTCACACCAGCAACACTCACAGTCAGCTGACTTCACAGCAGCAACACTCACAGTCAGCTGACTTCACACCAGCAACACTCAGTCAGCTGACTTCACACCAGCAACACTCACAGTCAGCTACTTCACACCAGCAACACTCACAGTCAGCTACTTCACACCAGCAACACTCAGTCAGCTGACTTCACACCAGCAACACTCACAGTCAGCTGACTTCACAGCAGCAACACTCAGTCAGCTGACTTCACACCAGCAACACTCACAGTCAGCTGACTTCACACCAGCAACACTCAGTCAGCTGACTTCACACCGCAACACTCACAGTCAGCTACTTCACACCAGCAACACTCACAGTCAGCTACTTCACACCAGCAACACTCAGTCAGCTACTTCACACCAGCAACACTCACAGTCAGCTACTTCACACCAGCAACACTCACAGTCAGCTACTTCACACCAGCAACACTCAGTCAGCTGACTTCACACCAGCAACACTCAGTCAGCTACTTCACAACAGCAACACTCACAGTCAGCTGACTTCACACCAGCAACACTCAGTCAGCTGACTTCACACCAGCAACACTCACAGTCAGCTACTTCACACCAGCAACACTCAACTACTTCACACCAGCAACACTCAGTCAGCTACTTCACACCAGCAACACTCACAGTCAGCTACTTCACACCAGCAACACTCACAGTCAGCTACTTCACACCAGCAACACTCAGTCAGCTGACTTCACAGCAGCAACACTCACAGTCAGCTACTTCACACCAGCAACACTCACAGTCAGCTGACTTCACACCAGCAACACTCACAGTCAGCTGACTTCACACCAGCAACACTGTCAGCTGACTTCACACCAGTAACAGTCAGCTGACTTCACACCAGCAACACTCACAGTCAGCTGACTTCACACCAGCAACACTCACAGTCAGCTGACTTCACACCAGCAACACTCACACTCAGCTACTTCACACCAGCAACACTCAGCTGACTTCACACCAGCAACACTCACAGTCAGCTGACTTCACACCAGCAACACTGTCAGCTGACTTCACACCAGTAACACAGTCAGCTGACTTCACACCAGCAACACTCACACTCAGCTACTTCACACCAGCAACACTCAGTCAGCTGACTTCACACCAGCAACACTCACAGTCAGCTGACTTCACAGCAGCAACACTCACAGTCAGCTGACTTCACACCAGCAACACTCAGTCAGCTGACTTCACACCAGCAACACTCACAGTCAGCTACTTCACACCAGCAACACTCACAGTCAGCTACTTCACACCAGCAACACTCAGTCAGCTGACTTCACACCAGCAACACTCACAGTCAGCTGACTTCACAGCAGCAACACTCAGTCAGCTGACTTCACACCAGCAACACTCACAGTCAGCTGACTTCACACCAGCAACACTCAGTCAGCTGACTTCACACCGCAACACTCACAGTCAGCTACTTCACACCAGCAACACTCACAGTCAGCTACTTCACACCAGCAACACTCAGTCAGCTACTTCACACCAGCAACACTCACAGTCAGCTACTTCACACCAGCAACACTCACAGTCAGCTACTTCACACCAGCAACACTCAGTCAGCTGACTTCACACCAGCAACACTCAGTCAGCTACTTCACAACAGCAACACTCACAGTCAGCTGACTTCACACCAGCAACACTCAGTCAGCTGACTTCACACCAGCAACACTCACAGTCAGCTACTTCACACCAGCAACACTCAACTACTTCACACCAGCAACACTCAGTCAGCTACTTCACACCAGCAACACTCACAGTCAGCTACTTCACACCAGCAACACTCACAGTCAGCTACTTCACACCAGCAACACTCAGTCAGCTGACTTCACAGCAGCACCACCTGGTGCTCTCCCCTACTCTCCCCTGAAGACAGAAGACTGTTTCTCCTGGTTGTTACTGATATTTATCTCGGGAGAAGAGGAAGGCAGTGCCCTCTCCCCCACCTCCCCGCCCAGCCCCCATTGCAAAGTACAACCCACATGCAAAGTGCATTGGTCACTTAATAAAAAGATAACGAGTAGCTTAATTGAGTGGAAATATCTACATGGTTTAAGGCTATCTAGCCGTTTCCATCGAGAGATTAGAAACTCCAGTAATACGCTTTTGTAATGATGGTGTACGGTGGCATACTGATGCCATTATAGCAAGTTCATTTAAATTGGTATCAGAAGCTGTAGAGCCTGGCTTTCAAAGATGTGAGTTCAGGTTAGAGGAAGGATGAAGGCCCGGTGGCTTGCTGCCAACTCGCCCCAACTTCCAAGTTAGTATCCTATTCTGTCTCAAAATGTCAAGCAAACCACAGGAACATTACTAAGATCAGAACTCAAGTCCAACAGGATGACTGGTTCCTGATACCCGGGGTACCTGGGGTTCAGTGTCACCACACAGGCTGGAGGTGTCCTGAGCAGGGGTCACACGGGCTGCTGCAAAGCCCTCGAGGCCCACCCTGCCAGGGTGAGGGGACAGAGCCCCCCAGCCCACCCAACACCCCCGCGCTGCAGGTAGCTCTGCTGTCCTCCGAGGGTGAGGAACCAGTTCTGAGGAACGGCACAGAAGCGGATCTGGAGAGAGGCCGTACCAATTCCATCACTTTCTGTGCTTACCAAATGCTGCCTCTATTTCCGAATTAGACAATAAAACAGATCAAGAGATGAAAATTACAAGGCAACTGGGCACCCGAGAGGAACAGGAGAGAGAGCAAGGTAACGCAGAACCCCACGCACTTTACAGCCCGGTGGAAGGGCCTCGTTCTGTCCCCTAACATAGCCTGTTTTTCTGGAACTGAGTTTAGCCCAATTCTCCGGTCACAGATGAGACAGGGTTACAGACCTTTCCATGGAACACGTGTCCTAGAAGGGGAAGCAAACGAGTGACCTTGCTTTAGAACAGCAGGCACAGAGAGCTAGGAAAATAAAAAAGCACATCTGTGCCAGGTGCAGAAACAAAACCTGGTGGACCCCACCCGGCTCACTGGGCACACCACCTGCTCAAGGTGACCCAAGGTCACAGCCCCTAGAGAGCAAGACAGGCTTTCCATTCCTGTGGAGCAGCGTGACACACACCTGTGTAACACGCATTCACCTAAGGGAGCAGCGTTCCCTCGGTGAATTCCTTCTTATGGTTTCCCGACTATAGAAAGCACAAGTGCTCAGGTGGCACTCTTACCTGGCTAGTGTGTACAAGGACCGAGGTTTGATCCTTATCATCACAAAATACAGAAAAACTGATTTCAAACACACACACACACAGTGTGCAAACACGGGGGTGTAATTGACAGGGAAGCATAAAATTAAATAAAGCCAGGTTCTAAGTGGCTCACACCTATAATCCTAGCTGCTCAGGAGGCCAAGACCGGAGGATCCTGGTTCAATGCCAACCTAGTCAGGACAGTGTGGGAGGCTCTTATCTCCAATTAACTACCTCAAATGTCAAACGTGACTCGGTGATGAGTGCTGGCCTTAAGCAAAAATAAATAAAAACCAGGCTGCGCTCAAGCCTCAGGACTGGCACGCGCACACACCTGCACGCGTGCAGACACACACACACACAGAAGGAGGAGGTGGGGGTGGGAGAAAAGAAGAAAAGACAGTTAAAATAGCCCTAAATCCGCATCCAAGAAGAGCCACAGGCACTGAGGGCATGCCAGCACTGTGTATGGGCAGAAGCAGCTATTTCAGACAATGTACTAGTAAAGGTTTCCTGCTGTGCGTGCTCTATTACACCTCCCACTCAAATCAATGTCCCTTTCAGTCAAAAGACCAAATATGACTGAGAAAATATCCACCAACTCCACTCTACAAACATATTGATGATATTCAGGCACTCCTGGTACTAGTAGGTATTTATGTCCCATCTAACTTTCCACCATTACAAACTATATGTCAAATAACCCTCCCTACAGATCTCTGAAAGGACCCCTTGCAAGTGAAACTTCTGTGTCAAAGCGTTTGCACATTTTAAATTGTAATCAGTGCGGCCAAAGTGCCAGCAGAAAAGCTAGACAAACTCACCCCACTGCCTGCCCCGCGGTGCTTGCTCATCTACCCAGAGTCAA